AGGCACACCTGGCATGTAAATTCCGTGGAGTGCATTTGCATCCTGCCCTGTGTTGATGCAACAAGAACCCAGTAAATGCAAGTTGATTCCATGTGAATTATACGTGAAATAATTGAACCCCAAATAACAGAAAGCGTGTATCTCTGGGTATAAGCCAGCTTCAGTCATAAAATCACTTCCAGGGTAAAGGAAATTTTCCGAGGCAGTTTTGATGCTTTTTCCAGTGTCTTATTTCTGTGGAAACTGCTGCTGGCATCACAGATAGGCAGCTTTGGAGTTCCAGATGTCAGAAGTACATTTCCCACTGCTGACTGATAGTACCTGGTCAGTACGTGCTGGCAGCAACAATCTCGGTAGTGTGGTGCCCAGCGTGCTGGTCTGTAGGTATCTGCGGCACTGTGTGGGCCAATTAGATTCAAGAAGTGACAGACAGACTTTAGTTCCTCTTTATGTGTTTGTGTGTGGAGGGGGAGGGATGTTTGTGTGTAGAGGCCGGAAGTTGACATCCGGTGTCTTCCTCTACATGCTCCACTTAATCTCATTTATTTACTTATTTTGGTGTGTGTGGTGTTTGTGCACGTACGTGTGCAGGTGCATGTGCCCACATACACATGAGGAGACTGGAAGAGTGTGTGTCCTACTCCATCACTCTTTGTCAGATTCCCTTGAGATGGTGTCTCTTACTGAAGCTGGAGCTAGACCGGCCAGCCAGGCAGCAACCCCCCCAGCATCTCCCCTACCACCAAATCTGCCCCCACTAAGTGTTGGGTTAGAAGTATGGGTCACCATGCTCAGTTTTAGGTGAGTGCTGGGGCTCCAACTCAGGACCTCACCCTTGTGTAGCCAACTCCTCAGCCCAGACTTTGGTTCCTGGGCCAGTTGTCTCAATAACACACTTCTTGCCTCATGCCTCAGTGTCTGTCAATCATGTGTTTCTAATGGTTACGGAAGTTCATGTTTACCACACCTTTTCAAATCATGCATGCAATCCTAATAGTGAAAAGCCCATAATATTCTTGAGTATCACAAACCTTTCTTTCCAATATAGGGGAGGAAATCTGATTCTGACTTTTGGAGCGTAGAAAGGCTAGTCATATGACTCAGAATTAAAATGAGTTTTCTTTTTCTAGTGCTTTCTATTTTGGAGAAGTTGCTAGCAATGTCAAAAGTCTGGCATCTGTTCAGCACAAGCAATATATATTTCAGGAACAATACTTTTTATCAACTAGGTAAAATTTTATTTTTTTTCTAAGTGTCTTATTCTTGATATTTTTCTGGACACTCTGTACATCAACATTTAAGTTCTGCTTATGGTAAAATTTATGTAGTAGGGATATGGCGCAGGGGTAGAACACGTGCCTAGCATGCATACAGAAGGACCTGGTTCAATCCCTAATACAGAACAAAACAAAACAAAAATCCACGCTGACAAAAGCCAAACACAAAAACCATGATGCTTATGTTGTCACAGACTTGACTTTCAATATCATGACCAATCAGAGCAGGGAAAACATATTTATTAAATATACATTCTCAATAGTATGGCCTTGGCTTATATTCAAGAATCTGTGTATTTAATAATGTTGATGCTTCCTAGAGAGTGTTTCCTATGCCACTGGCTTTGTCAAGTCCCAGTGGTTTTGTCCTTGGAGCGTCCATGGTTTATTTGACTGCTCTGTTGTCATGTTTTAGCCGAAGTCAGGCCGTTCCAGCTGACGTGATAGAATTCACTAATGTCGCCAGAACTTGTTGATATATTATTCTGCACAGCCTTAGGATCTTTGGGGAACTTACATTGAAATATAATATGATTGTTATAATTTTCTTCAGCCTTGTGACCCTATTCCCTCAAATGCTGATAGCCTAGGTTTGGTTTTTTTTGGGGGGGGTTTTTGTTTGTTTGTTTGTTTTTCCCTGATAATCTAGTAAAAATCTGCATAGTCCTTGTCCAGCTATATATTTTACTATGGAAACAATTTTTGCTTGTTGGTTTGTGTTTTTTGTTTTTGAGACAGGGTCTCTCACAGTAGCCCTGACTGTGATGGAACTCACTCTGTGGACCAGGCTGACCTCGAACTCAGAGATCTGCTTGCTTCTGCCTCCGAGTGCTGGGATTAAAGGCATGTTTCACCATGCCTGACTAACTTTTAATGCTTATATACAGACAGATTTGTGTTTTGAAAATATACCTAAGGAAATTAACTGTTCCTCTGGCATAGGAGACAAACCTCGGTGGTATTTAACTTTTCTTTTAATATTAAAATAGCGCACGCCTTTAATCCCAGCACTTGGGAGGCAGAGCCAGGAGGATCTCTGTGAGTTCGAGGCCAGCCTGGGCTACCAAGTGAGTTCCAGGAAAGGCGCAAAGCTACACAGAGAAACCCTGTCTCAAAAAACCAAAAAAAAAAAAAAAAAAAGTGATTTCAGTCAACAAATTTGGTATATGCTGTTGACTCTTTTTAGCCAAAATGTGTGGGTTATTTAGTGCTTGTATTTATTTTCTGGGTTAATGTTCTGCTATAACGCTATGAATCTTCTATAATGTCCATAAAGGAAGAAAATTCCTGATTAAAATTTTTTCTTCTTCCTGCTCCTCTGTCTTTTTTCTGTTTGGTGGCACTAGGGATGCAGGGCTCAGACACCAGGCTAGCTCTCTACTCCGAAGCTACATATCCTCAGCCCCACTTTGCTCATTTTGGGACAGGGCCTCTCCAAGTTGCTCAGACTGTCCTTCAACTTATTCTGTAACCTACTCCAGCCTTGAACTCGACAGCCTCCTGCCTCAGCCTCCTTCGTAGCTGGAACTACAACCTTGTACCAGCAAGCCTGGCTCCAGAACTTTCTTGAGATGCTCTTTGGAATGACAAATATTGTTGACAAATATTATTATATGACAAAAATTATTGTATGACAAATATTAAAAAAATTGTTGACAACAGATTTGTGTCTGTGTTCAACAGCAGCATGCCCATTTTCCTTATCATATAGAATCTCATTGGCAACATTAGTAAATAGATATTTCCAAGACAGATTTGAAATTTGAAACTGTTGATATTTTGTTTCAGTTTCTTCATGTTTACTGGGGCAGGGGAAGGTGCTGGATTCTCCTTATCTTTGTACGCTTTCTAGTTTTCCAGTTGATTAATTTTCCATTGTTATTGTTATTAAAGAACTGGTAAAAATGTAGACTCCTTTGAAGACTCATACAGTAAGATGCAGATTCTATGCGGTTTGTTACCGTCTGGAAAAGTTATTTGTTTATTCTATTTCCCAAGACTTTTAGCCTGCATTATCATCCATAAAGTAAAAACTTCTTCCTTGAGGGCAAGTTCTCACCGAGGGCATGCGCATGACCTGTATTTCCACAATGTGGCTGAGGATTCGACTTCTTCGCTTTTCTAAGTCTAGCGTTTATTGAAATTCCCAGTGATGGTTGAGGATGAAACGCAAAGGTGAATTCACATTCTGCTCCTATTTCTAAGACACATCCCTGTCCGCAGTTTCCAGCTGCACTATTTTCTTTCCATGTCCACCCCATTCCCTGTCAGACTTAGTCAACAATTCAAATATCACTTTTTTTCTCTAGACAGGTTTTCATTTTTTGTTTTGGGGCTAATATTTTTTTTCTTTTCTTTTTCTTTTTCTTTTTTTTTTCAGGGCTGAGGACCGAACTCAGGGCCTTGCGCTTGCTAGGCAAGTGCTCTACCACTGAGCTAAATCCCCACCCCCACCCCCAAACTCCGAGATAGGGTTTCTCTGTGCAGCTTTGCACCTTTCCTGGATCTCGCTCTGTAGACCAGGCTGGCCTCGAACTCACAGAGATCTGCCTGCCTCTGCCTCCCAAGTGCTGAGATTAAAGGCGTGTGCCACCACCGCCACCAACCGGCTTTTTTTCTTTTCAATACCTTGAAAGAAACACCATATTAGCCTAGACATATAATATATGTAATAGTTTATATTAGAATTTGTAATAAAAATAAATAATAAGCTATGAAATTTTTGTTTTGTTTTTCGAGACAGGGTTTCTCTGTGTAGCTTTGCGCCTTTCCTGGAACTCACTTGGTAGCCCAGGCTGGCCTCGAACTCACAGAGATCCACCTGGCTCTGCCTCCCGAGTGCTGGGATTAAAGGCGTGTGCCACCACCACACCACCACCGCCCGGCAAGCTATGAAATTTTACCAGCAGATATTTTGTTTGTTTTTTAGATAGTGCCTCACTGTGTGTCCTGACTGGCCTGGAACTTGATATGTAGACCAGGCTGGCCTTGAACTCAGGAGATCACCTGCCTCTGCCACCCGAGTGCTGGGTCAAAGGAGTACAGCAGCACTCCTGGCTCCACTGTTGTGTTTGTCCTGAAGAAGTTTCCTTGAGCAATGTATTGATAACAGCTGTGAATCAACTAGCAGTTTACATACAATGCACTCTAATTCAGGAATGAAATGTAGATAGAGAATGGTACATGAACACTAATTACAATAAAAGTGAGTTGTGCCGTAATAAAAATCTTACAGACTCTGTTAAATTGGGAACTTAAAGGTACCATTCAGACTACATGACTTATAATGGTAACCTCATATTTCATCGGTACACAAATGCTAATAGGGGATTAAAAAGGCATTTAAACACACATAGCAGGGCATGGTGGTATATGCCTGCCATTCCTGCACTAGATGAGAAGACTGAAGGGAATTCAAGGCTAGCTTGACCTACATAGTAAGACCATGTCTCAAAAAAAACCCAAGCAATCAAACAAACAAAAACTTCACAATCCTCGCCTAAGCTCCTCTGTGGGAAGCGCCAGCGATTTCTACCCAGTTTCTACCGGCAGGTTGTTAGCAAACTCACTCCACTTTAACTTGCGAAACAAGCGAATGTCAGCCTTCTTAGGAAAGGTCTGTTTCCCCTGTCAGAAAATTATCGTAATAAATGGATTTTGTTGGATGAAGCATCACATTGTCATTTACCAGAAAAATTTGTAATAAGATTATACACCACTTACCTTTGAAGTTACCAGAGAAACGAAAACGTCAAGAATACAGTTTCCTCGTAGAAAGTGGATGGTTGGCTCGGAGACCACGATCTGTGTGGAAACACCAGTTTCGTTGTTTGCTAACTCCAACCTTAAGCAACTCTTATCTCTTGGCCACCTCAGCTGCAAATGGGAGATAACCGTGTCTGATCCTGCTAACTGCTTCTGGAGTCACACGGGGCACCTCGAGCTCTGAGGAGCAAACGAGACTGAGATGGGCGTGCAATTTTTCGGCACTTACAGGAAACGTGACTGCTTTCTGAAATAAACAAGAAGCAGGCTTGGAAGTCAGCTACAGGGAGCTGGGTATGGTGGTGTGTGTCTGTAATCTCCGCGTGTGAGAGGCAGGCACAGACATAGCAGCGATTTAAGGCCAGCCTCAGCTACATACTGACTTGAGGCTAGCCTGGGGTACATGAGACCTTGTTTCCATGAAAATTAAAATAATCAAATAAAGAGTCAGTAGAGGGCATTACTTCTGTAAACCCACGGTCTGTCGTCCCTGGGGAACCAGCTGCAGCCCAGATGCTGGTCTTACATGGTCACCGGCGGACGTTTGCCGGAGCTGGCAGGTCTGACAGTGAGATGCACTTAGAACACCAAGTGTTAAGCCGGTTGCCGGCTGTTTGCGAATAAGCTACCACGCAAATTGAAAATCTCAAAGTGAGTCTTTCAGGCGGCTCCAGTCAATAAATGGACTCCATGATAAACCTCAAGGGGACACAGGAAACCTATCTGGAGAAGGGAAATTTTGCAGTAACAGCCAGAAGGACATTCAAGTCCCAGGTATGGTGAGGGTATTCACTCCAGAGGGAGCAGGGAAGGTGTACCTCAACATCTCTGCCCTGCTTCTAAACCCCGCTGGGTATAGCAGCACATCTGCGGCCGACCTGAGGACAGAAAGGTGACAGTCCCATCCTCCATTCATCCGTCAAGCATTTACGGAGGACTGCTATGTCCCAGCACTGGCGTAGGTGCTGGAGAGACGAGTCAAACTGGACAAGATCTTAGGCCACACAGAACTCTTGAAATCTACTTCGTGGACTGTCCCTGTCACACTCTGTCTTCCCTTCTTTTCTTACGATCCTAGGTGACAGCCCTCTCTTCACGCTCAGGCACCCCGATGCTCATCTCTTACTAGAGATTTCAGATGCTCACTGAAGTAGAAAGGACCATAGTGCCTGATAGCACGCCTTTGTGCCCGGCTCCCTCTTACCTGGAACACACAAGGCAGCTTCCTCCTCTTGTCATTCAAAAAACAGCTGCCCCGGCACTTGGAAGACAGAAGAAGGAGGATTGTGGGTTCAAGGCCAGCCTGGGCTTTGTATCAGACCCTGTTGAGAAGAGGAGAGATGGCTTTGCTCCTCTCTGATCCCATGGTCCTTCCTTTGGAGCACGTCTTTTTTAACACTAACTTTTAATCTTTTGCCATGCCCGCTAAGGTCCCGTGGAGATGCCCCCAGTAGACTGGGGTAGAAGTGGGTAGAGGACAGTTGTAGGTACCATGTCTGCCCCTCCTACTCACGCAGGCTGTCTATCTCACACTGCTGGAGACACAGCATCCACTAAACCAAGTTTTGCCATATTGGACTTTTTTTCCTTTGATTTTAAAATTATATTTAGTAATTCCCTTGGTGGGTTGCACTCGGCCATAAAGATGCGGTCCCTCCTCTGCTCGGTTCTCATGGTCTAGTTTTGAGCATTTTGCTCTCCTTGTTCTTTATTCCTGCTGTAGGCCTCTCATTTAGCTTCCAAATGTTATTTGCCCCTTTGTGTGTTGAAATGATTCTTGATGTTATTTGGACGGAAGTTTATCTTTAGCTAATAGAATTTTGTCTTAGTTAGGGTTACTATTGCTCTGAAGAGACAGCATGACCACGGCAACTCTTATAAAGAAAACATTTAATTGAGGGGGCTCGCTTATAGTTTCAGAGGTTCAGTCCGTTATGATAATGAAGGGGAGCATGGCGGTATGCAGGCAGACATGGCGCTGGAGCTGAGAGTACTACATCTTGCAAGCAACAGGAAGCCAACTGACTCACTGAGCAGTATCCTGAGTATATGAAACTTCAAGGTCCACCCCTACAGTGACACACTTCCTCCAACAAGGCCATATCCACTCCAACAAAGCCACACCTCCTAATAGTGCCACTCCCTATGAGATTATGGGGTTTTGGGGGCCAATTACATCCAAACGGCCACACATTTCTTCATTGATTTTTTTTTTAAATTTCTGTGAGCAAATGCCTGACACAAACAACTTCAGGGAAGATGGATTTATCTTGGCCCATGGCTCTAGAGGTGTCAGTTCATCCTGGCAGGGAGGGTATGGTGCAGCAGAGTCGCTCACATCACAGCAGTCAGGAAGCAGAGAGAGAAAGTCTGTCCTCCTAGGCTTTCTCCTTTGACTCCAGGCAGGCTTCCAGCTTCTGAAAGGAGGCCATCCACCTCCATGTGGAATTCCTCCCCCTTAGTCTTCTCTGGAAATGTTCTCACAGACATACTCTGAGGCATGCTTTATCAGTCTCCTAGGTGCTTCTCAATCTATCAAATTGACAATCAAGATTAATCATCACAAAGATAAGACATCCCCATTGGCATTTCAGGTACCAGCAGCTAACCAGGAAGATTTCTGGACTCGGACCCTCAGTCCCAGCAGGCAGTAGTGAACAGCTCAGACCAGCAAATGGCTTAGGCCCCTTCTCTTGGCTCCTCCACCTCAGGGCCTTATTTTCCCATAATACTCAGCCCTCCCTCCCTGTGGCAGACCCTGTCTGTACTGTGGCTACACTGTCAGGCAAGCACCCTGTCAGAGTGCTCACTTCCAGGAGAGGACTGTCCTGGACATGAAGATCTGTCAGAGGACACGCCTTTTGTCTTCTGCCCGGCATTCCTCAAAGGACCTCACACTTGGCAAAATATGAAGAAATGCCATGAATCCTTAAGTCAGTGGTTCTCAAACTCTTTGGTCTCTGGACCCCTGTACACTCTTAAAAATTATTAGGAAGCTAAGAGTTATTGTTTTGTAGGCTGTAGCTACTTACATTGAGTATATTAAAAATAAAAACAGAAATCTGAGTATTTAGTCTATTTTAAAAATAACATCTTACCATGTTTTATGAAAAATATCTAATTTTCCAAAAGACAAAATTTTTGGTAAGAAGACTTACTGCTATTCTTGAAAATTGTATTGTTGACAGAATAATACTAGAATAATATTGATAGAATATTGGTAAAAGAGCGCTGGGTTCTTAGATCTGCCCCTGCATTCAGTCTCCTGCAGACCACTCAATGGGGCCTTTGAAAACCCTACTACGTTATTGGAGAAACTGTGAGGCGGTAGCAGGCATCTTGGTACTCCTATGGGAATGCTTTGACTTTGTCCACCCTCTGAAAGGATCCCTGGGGCTCCCAGGGGGTCCCCCAGGTACACCTTGAAAACCTTGAGACCGTCTGGCTTTGGTGCCCCAAGAAGCTATAATCTCTGGAGCTTTCTCCCACAGGTTAGACTTCCTGCAGCTGTCTTTGCCGTAGTGTGTCTGAGGAGCCTTCTCCCTGGGGATGTTCGTCCAGTTTTGGTCACTGTGACAAAATACCTGAGGAAAACAACTTGTTTTGTCTCAGAAGGGTAAGTCAATGGTTGGTTGGTTGCATTACTTTTAGTCATGACAAGGCAGACACATTATGGTGGAAGAAAACTGCTCACCTCATAGTGTTTGGGAAGCAGAGAGAAAGCCAGAGGAGATGTCTGGAACAAGATATACCCCCAAGGACACACTTCCAAAGACCTACTTCTTCTAACTAAGCCCTACCTCCTAGCTGTCCATCCATTCAGCTGTGAACTCATGGATGGATTAAGCCATTGGTAAAGTCTGGGCTCTCATGACCCAATGATCTTGTAATAGTGTCACCATACGAGGGCCACTCTTTCAGAGTATGAACCTTGGGGGTACATTTCACATCTATTCCAGGACAGATGGGTGCTCTCCGCGTGCAGAGTGGGATCATACAGCTCTATTTTATGAGGGAAGAAACATGAAAGGCCCAAGTGCAGGGTAGGCAAGTGTTAGGCTGGAAAAGAAAAAAATAAGAACTCAAATCCTGGCTTCATTACTTTTCTCAGGCCATGTCTGCCTTTGAGTTCCCCCTCTGTGCAGTTAAAGGCTGTGTGACTTCTTCAAACTGAGAATCTAGAGTCAGACTAGATTCTGTAAATGGCTGTAAAGGGGATGGTTGGACGTCTTCATCCGGTGAAGAAGAAAGCTCGTTCAAGGTATGGATAATTTCCCCTTTCTTCTCTGGATCACGGGCATACTTACTTGCCCTCTATTCCTAACTACACCAGAACCTTCAGTGGCCTTGACTGTCAGGCTCCTTCACAGTACCTCTGAGCATGTGTACTATCATGATGGTCTTGTTTCTGGATATCCTGTCACATCTGGCCACCGCTGGTGAGGACGGCAGTGCTTGGGAGTGAATGGTCAGAACACATCATGGAGTCAGAGAGACATAGACTCTATGACCATGAGTACACTGGATCCCTGAAGACTGACTTATTTACTGTAAATGGGGTGGGTTCCTGTTCCTATCTCATGTTTATTTTTGAAGATTAAATGAAGCAATGAGTATGTCTGGCATATATTAAGTCTCCAATAAATAGGGATCTCTCACTCTTGCTCTCCTGAGGCAAGAGCTAAGGTATCTGTGTATGAAGACTGGGGGCTCATATTACTAAGAGCCAAACTATCTTTCCCTGTCAAGAACTGACAGCACATGGGAGTCCATTCATGAGCTACCCAGGCCTGTGGTCTGTGAATGGCTGACTACTCTGTACATCTGCCCAACAGACTTGCTGGACAAGATGCCGGATGTCTGGAAGTATGTGTGGGGTGCAGGAACAAGGGAATTGTGTTTTATTGAGGGACTTACAGAGCCCCTGAGAAAGGCTCAGTAGGCCCATGCAGGGAGTGGTGGGCCCGTGTTGTCAGTCATGATCAGGGTCAGCTGCCGTGAGCAGTTGATAGTTGCCTGGAACTCGGCGGTTTGTTTACTCCTGCATTCCTTCAGTCAAAACTTGGACGGAGTGTTTTCATTTTCTTGGTTATTGGAATGTAGCAGTGAACCTAAAACCCATCACTCTCGTAGAGATTTTAGAGGAACACACGAAAGACTGCCCTGAAGATCAAAGGGTGGCATGCCGCAGACAAAGAAAGCTCCGTGGGAGT